AGTTGTAGAATAGTCAAGGCCAATTAAGATGTTTATCATCATCATCATCATCATCAATATTTTCATAATAGTCAAAATATACCATCTGAGGAGAGCTTATATTCCTTCATGTCCTATCTGGGTTCAGTAAAAAAGAACAGAAAAAAGGATTTCCCTTTTCTGACACATTTGTCCTGTTCAGTACATATTTACCTAGGAGGAAGCTTCACTGAACACAATGTATCTCTGAGTTAACATAAGCTAACAGTGTAAATCCATGTAATTTTTATCTTACCCCAGATCCTGTGAAGCAAAAGACCATGTCAATTTAGGATGCAATTAACATGGCCTTTTGCTTAATGCAGCTAAGGGGAGAATGCGTCTGTTCAAATCTCTCTCCTAAGCTCAAACATTAAGCTCAAAAGAGCAAATATTGCCTTAGCACTGAAAGACACATTAATCAAGAGATCAGTTTAACATGTGACCACTGAAATATACCAATGAAAATAAGAACTTTCCCAACCTATGAATATCCATGTTCATATTGATTCCAAGCATAACCTTTTTACTCCTAAAGTTACTTAATTTCTTTGCAAAAACACTGCACAATATTTCCCTGCTGAGTAGAAGTACATACCTCCCTGAAACATGTGACAGATGTAATTTCCATATGGTGAAGCTCTTAAGTCTCCAAAAATTGAAGGCATCTCAGACAGATTTTTTAAAAAATCTAAAGATAACTCTTCTGTTTTAGCTCAATGAGACTGCATTAAAGTTAAGAATAACAGAGTACTTCAATTGACAGCTGAGATTAAGCAGACCTCATGATGTAGTATTTTGAAACTTGATATTAGGTGGAAAGATTTACAAGAAGTAGTTTGGCAGAGGGGAAATAAATGACACTTTTGCATGTGTACAATTTGTGTACAGGTTTTTAAATGGGGGGGGTAAGCATTGGGATAAAACTAAAAAAAGGTTTACTATATTTTATTTGTTTCTGTAATGGAATATATGCCCTCCCTTTCTGTTTATAAGACAGTCAAGGTAGCTTACAACATTTAAGAAATACAAAATATAAAACATAATAAAAGTGATGTAATTTGGGGGGGTGGTAAAAGAAGAGGGTGGTTCAAAATAAGTATTTAAATGTTGTTTTAAAGCATCACAAAAAGAAGCTGAATCCATAAACACAAATGGATTAATATTATATTCATAGCCAATGTTTCTTCTGACCAACTCACTGATCCTTTAGATCAACACACTGATATATACATATACCCAATACATAAATGAATGTCATCTATAATTTGATTAGAATTCAGTCATTTTAATCTTCTCAACTATTGGTTATCCCACACCGTTAGTGGTTTCTAAAGTCTATTTTGATTTCTATATTTACATTGGACTTCATTTCTCTTAAAATTATTCAACTGTTTCTATTGGCAAGGTCAAAACAAAACCCTAGAAAACACCTAAGAAGTTATTTGATTCAGCCAGTTTAGATAAAAATTAAAATCTTCTGATGGCCTTAATGTATTTATGGTTACATACAATTTCATATAAGCACAAGAATAAAATATGGCCACAGCGGGGAAGAACCCCAAAAGTTATCAAATCCATCTTTATGGCCTAAGACCAAATTCAATCTACATTAAAGCTGTAATTTTTTGTTTGCTTGAGAAAGCAGGAAAAAAAATCAGGATGTATCACTCCAAGCAAAGACAGCCAAACTTTTCTCAAACTCCTTCTTTCAAAAAATCCATATTTTATAATTTTTGAATGATTGCACTCTGGGTATGCATTAGAACACTAAAATAAACCATGACTTTAAACCAAAAGATTGTGGATTCCTTGTTTTGTTTTGTTTTGTTTTTAATTATTTGCAATGACAAGAAAAGTTTGCTCATATTCATGTAAATATTTTTCCTATTCCACCTTATACGCAAACATTACCTCATACTGCTAGTTACAAGATCATGCACACACTTATTAGTATTTTGAACCTAATTCATAGTAATGTGTAGTTGTGATTACTGATTTGTGAACGTTTTGGTGGAAAAAAACATTGTGAAAGGTTGTAGCTGTGGATGTGTTCATGTGTGTGTAAGTGTGGATGTGTGTGGGTGGGTGGGTGTGTGTGTGCGTGTAGGGTGATTTTACCTGGAGCTATTCCATAGATCTCTTCTGCAATTCTGGCAGCTTCTTTCCTGTTCCCTTTCACAATATAAAAATGGGTCAATAAAGCCAAAGAGATTTTAATCAAAAGCTTGAAACAAAATAAAGCAAAAATTGCAAAATAAATGTTGTTGAAAGCCAGGAGTATCGTACTGCCGTCCATTTTAATTTGCCCTCTGTTTAGCTTCCCAGATCTCCTAAGCTGCAATCAGTGCTATTGCTATCATATGACATCTATTTTGAACACTCGTGCAGTTCAGGTTCCTCAGTTACCAAAAATACACCGTTTCCAAATTGTACACAACCTGCTGATATCATACAACAATATTTAGATTTTAAGAATGCTGGTTTCTTATTTTTATTTTATTTTTATGTTATTTTATTTTCTTATTCTTGTCCTTCTAACATGCAGAAAAGAATAATCTAAAAGAATGTGGCTTTGAATGTCCAAAAGATAACCTAGAAAAAGCAATTATAAAAATCCACATCAAAGGCCAGCGTTGGCATGAAAAAATGCATCTCTCAGAATAGTGCAAAATGCAGATGTGTATTTATTCATACTCTGATTACTCTTTAGCAAAATGATTGGATAAAGGGGAAACGCTTGACTTTATGATCACAGCAGTTTCCAGCTGAAATAAGAAAATGTCCACATGTATCTCTGTCCCCAATTTCCAATATTGAAAGGAGGAGAAAACATGCCCGTATCATTCAATAGCTGTAACCAATTTAACAAAGGAGACAATTAGGAGTTAAACACTTCCAGATGTATAGATGCTATAATGGAATGTCATAAGTGATTATCAGGAATACCATGATGGATAGTTGGTTAAGCACTTATTAAGCAATATGCATTTATAGTTTGTTTTAAAATATTTATCTCCTATCTTTCTGCTTGCCAAAAAGTCTCAAAGATGGTTTTAGAGCCAGTTTGGTGTAGAGGTTAAGGCACCAGGCTAGAAACCGGGAGACTGAGATCTAGTCCCACCTTGGGCCAATCTCTCTCTCTCAGCCCTAAGAAGAAGGCAATGGCAAACCACTTCTGAAACCTTGCCAAGAAAACTGCAGAAACTTGTCCAGGCAGTCATCAGGAGTCAACACTGACTCAAAGGCACAAAAAGTAAAATAAAAATTAGCACGGAGTTTATGGTCCTTTATTGCTTATAAATAAAGCAGGTAGTTCGTTATACTTTTTCTCCATATCAAGCAGAGCTATTTGAAAGGAGAAACAGTTTGTCACATTGCTGTTCTAAATCACTGCAACAACTAACTCATAAAAAGATTATATTATAAAGCAAAGGCTACCAGACCTACAAAATCTAGGCAACTACTTAGCAGACTGAGTTTTCTGCATCTCTGCTGCATCTTGTGGTGATCCCTCTTTTTGCAGCCTGGAACCTGTCAGCCTAGCATAAGACAGGCATTAATTACAGTGCTGTGGTAGCTACACTGTGATACTTGGAAGAATATTTGCCACACTGGCAGTAAAGTGGATTACTGGGCCAAGCACAGTTCCCTTAAGACACTTCTCCATTAAAAAGAGAACATTGTCGCAACATGAGGTATTTATTGATATTGGTTCTTCTGAAATCTCATCAAAGGTTTACAAAAAAGGGCCAATGTTCAAATAATTAGGGCTGCCAGATCTGGGCTGCAAAAAAACTGAATGACCACTATGTAGTAGCAAAGAGCTTTGCAATTCTTTGTGCTATCTAGTGGTCAACCGGATGGTATGGTAACCCTAAAATGCTCCTCATTCAATATACCATTTTTCCCTCCTAATCTATTGGCCAACTTCTGCTGGGGAGTTATCTTTCTGAGCAAAAGCAGGCTGTGGAAGAAAGTCTTGACTTTAGATTGGATGTACACTTCTATTAGTGACAAATAACCAACCAAGTGCTCTTTAAATTATTATTTTAATGCTATTAATAAGAGGCATTTTTAAAACTGAAAGGCGGGGTATAATTTCATCTAGCATTGAGATGTACAGCAAGCTTCATACAGTGTAAGAAAACATTCTACACGTATGAAGGGAAATAATACTTCATCAGTGGAAAAAGAAAGATGAAATAGCTTCTTAGTTCCAGATCAGTACTGGTAATAATCCAATTTACAATGGCATTTAGAGATCTTTAAGATAATTTATTTTAATTCTTTTGCTACAAGGCTGGTGTTTTAGGAATTTATTGCAAAAAATAATGCAATTGCAACACTAGATGGAGCTACAAGAATACAATATCCTCCCGCATAATTTGCCATACTGTAGCAGTTGGGAGGAAAAAGTTTATTGGATACTTACAATAGCGTAGACAAATTTGTGCCCCCCCCAAAAAAAACAACCCACTGGTGAAAATGGTTATTTAATTGTTCCTAAGACTACCTAGGTATGTTTGTATGTTACAAGCCACTATAAAACACAACCCGTTATTATTCTTGCATGGAAAACATTTTCCAAATTGCATTTTCCCCATAATCTACTTCACTGTAAAGGTCATATTAAGAAATATAATCATTTGACTAAATGTCAAGCCCTTTTATCATAAAGTAAACCTTACATCTTATTTATACAGAGTTCATGTTATGCTCCTGTTACAGCTCAGCAGTGATTTAGAAGATGCAAATATAGCTGAATACGAATAAACTCCTGGATGGAATAAACAATGGAATCTGGGGACCCATAAACGTGATAACTGGTACGGGTCATGGCAAAAGAATTAATCCACCCACTGATAAAGTTTGATAAAGAATTATGCTATAATACCTCTGTGACACTAAGGCCCATATTTAAACTGACTCATATTCCAGTTCATCCCAATCTAAGTCTTCAGCAGTCAATAAAAGCATGATGGAAGGAAAAATTATAAGCTACTTTTCCTCTGTTTAACTTCTTAAATATGTTTCTACCTTTAGAAGGGAGGAAGAGTGATTTCATTTTGCCCTGAGACATAGAAAAGACTTGCCATACCACTATCAAAGCTATCACATCCTGAGGCGGGAGCTATCTTTCTCGCCTTAGTTACATACCAAGATATGCTGTCTTCTTCTCACACCCAGCACCTGTGGAAAGTTAAGTCTGCTTTCATAGGTCCAGCAGTTTCCATGGTTCCATCCAGAGAAATTATTCCTATCCGTAGATTAAAACAGGAGTGGGGAAACAGTGACTCACCAGATGTTGTAGGATAATGATAGATAATCCCTATCTCTAAGCTAAAGAAAGAATTGTCTCCCCCTCCTTTGTGTGTTCTCTGAGACAGAGAAGCAACTATTTTCATCTTGGCTTCTTGAAACACTTCTCAGGTTTAGAGAGGCATCCTGAAGTAAAAATTCAGTTTTATTTAAATTCTAAATCTGGAGAATATTAGAACTACAGGTCTCTGAATTCTAAGAATGGTTCCTATTCTAGGAATTGTTCTGGAAGGTTCTTTGCAATTCTTCCTTAAGCCACTTTCATTTTTCTTTACATGTATTTCTTTCTTACTTTCATAACCCTCGGTCCATAATCGAATTAGCTTTTTGTCTCCAGAAAACTTCATGGTACTTTTTTGTCAGCTGCTCCCTCATGTACCTAAAAGGTCATTGGTATAGTACGTGTTTTGCTTACTGGAGCCAGGTTAAATCTCTAGCTGCTTCTGGTAGGGTTAGAAATCTTCAGTGTGAAAGACATGAGAGCTGCTAACAACCTGTGCCAACAATATTGGGTTATACAGAGCAGTGGCCTGAGTCAGTATACAGCAGTTTCTTGTTGTTAACAATTTCCTCATTAAAGATTTCTGGGCTTTTTTATATATTCTTGGGCTCTTCCCAAGCATTCTGTTAAGTTATTTGGCTTGCTCCCACTATCAGTTGTTCTGGTATTCCTAATTTTTTCCAAGTGCTTTCTGTCCATCCTGGACCTCATGACATTGTAAAGGAACAAAGAATTCTGGGACATTGATTCAATTGACATGGTATTTCTGAGAGAGGAAACTAAAATTTAAATGTTCTTGTTCAGAAAATGACTGTTAGTAAAACACAATCTTAGCCTACAGAAATATCCTGCAAATTTGCAACTGCTTAAAAAAATGAAAATATATGTTAACAACACAGCACATAATAGAACTTTTTGGGAGAAATGAAGAAAGAATCCCACAGTGGCAAAATTAAAATGAAATTTAGCAATCTTTCTCTGTTAAACAGACAGTATTTGAAGAGTGTATTTGTTAAATAAATAAATAAATAAATAAATTGGTGGGTGATTACAGGTTCTGTGCTGCATTATTTTCAGTACCCTAGCTACGCCTCAAGTTTTATCTTTTCCTCATTAATTCAAAACAGATGTTATTATTCAATTGAAGTCCTCTGTTGATGTTGGTGAATGCTAATGGAAGAGCTGTGACAGGTAAAATAGATGAGAGGGCACCATCTGCCTTGACTAATGTTCAAAGTAGATAATATTTTAGAATGAATACAGATGAGTATTACTTCCTGGAGTTCAGAAAGATTAATAATTCACAATGTGATTTGTGTGCATTAATCTAAACAGGCCCTGTAGGGATTACAGCAAACTTCATGTCACTTGTCGAGCCTTCTTTCTCATTTCATTTAAGCAAACCCAGCAGTACCACCACCACCAATTTAAGCAGATTTACTATTTATTTAGGACTAAACTAGAGTTGATGCTAAACATGTCGCTTCAAATAATGTGCATCGCCTTAAGACTTGCAGTATATAGAAGAAATGGAACAGGTTTGGAGAGAAGGATGGTTAAAAGAAATCACACCAGCTCTGGAAGCAATTTATTGGCCTCACAGAGAATACGTGGCATGAAATTACACATTAAGTTTCATGTAGTTTGCTTGTGCACTGATGTGGTAAGTAAAGTAGCAATCCCCTCCTCACCTTCATTGGTCCATGTTGTAGGAATTGATTTAAATTAAGTATCAACAAATAGCACATTCTGTTCATTTAACGTCTACCTTTCTTTCAAAAGAAGTTCTGAAGTGAAATAAATGGAGGTCATTTTTTTTATGAAGGCCATGCATCTGAGCACAAAAATATTCTTTAAGGTAATCGGATCCCTGCATTTTTTATTTCAAATCAACCCAACTAGATGTTTTTCCTTTTCAAAGGAGAGCAAATAAAAATGTATTCACCTAGACATGTATCTTTGAAGTAAGAGAAAAA